GTTTTCCTCTTCACCTCAGTGTTATTCATTCTAAACATTCATAGAAACCTATTTTATGTGAGGTTCTATTTTTTGAGATTTGATATTTCGGAAGCATGACTTTTGTTGCAACCAAAGTTCACATCGATTAGTCACGAATTAGCTTATCAGAAGCATTGTGTCACTTTCCTTTTCAGTTCTATTGATCATCCTTGAATAATCTGGTCGTCGAACTCTTTGTTTAGGATGATTTTGTGCTTTTTTGATAAGCAGAGACGAGGTTCTTGAGAGTACAGTGGGTACAACATAGTACACTGATAATGGTCGACGTTTCAGTTGTTTGGACTTCTTCGGAGCCTGAAAGAGACAAATCGACATGCAATCAGTCTACTCAGTCAAAAACTCAGTTAAAGCAGAAAAAACTGCAATATAAACGCTTGATTGGAAAGAAAACAGCTTCTTTTTTTTCTTTAAAAATAACTGCAGAACCGTAAAACATTATGGCAGTGAGTATTCACTCGAGGCTGTTTACTATTGGATCTAACATCTTTGTATTAAGTTTACTTTTATTGAAGTCTAGCATCCCACCCCAAACTCTTACACATAGAATAAAATTTTGTCTGCTCTGGTTATAAAGATATTTGAACAAGTAGATGGCATGTCAATTTGGCTTACCAGACTCTGAAGAAGGCAAAATTGTCGAAACTTCAGCCATGACAACTTTACCATATTGAGCTCCATTTTAATGTCAAAACCTTGTCTGCTTATCCAGAAAACGTGGAGTTATTTAATCAATGCCGAGGTTAATCGATAGGCGGCCCTGGTAGTTTGTCTAAAAGCTCTCCCGAAATCTAGATCGATCGACGCCGCTATATTATCATTGGAGAAGTGATCTTGCAATAATGAATTCATTGTTCCCCATTGTTTGATGTGAATAATTTGTCATCATATACGAACAATCGAGCGTCTAAAATGCGGGACTTTTCTCTTTATGAGTTTTGTCCTCTTTGGTCGAATGTGTTTACCAAGTCACATCGTTTCTATGGATCATATTAATTAAACATGAATGTTACTCGAAATCTGTTATGAATCCTAGAGCACTCAGAAGTATATTGTCGAGGAGCGCGTGGTTCACTGGTTAGAAGTGCCCTGCAACACATAGTTGGTCGATGGCTGAGTACACCTAAAACTCGCCAAGCCTTCCATGCCTCCGGGGCCGATGAAATGTTACAAGTCTTTTTTGGGAGGATAGTAACATTGTCCTGATACATCTCTAGGCCACCCCGAGTCATTATAAGATCAGCTACAAATTTGACTACCTCTGTGATAGCTTTTGCAGTCGAATGCGTGACACATTCTCAGGACTGGCTAACGCCCAGGTTTTCTTCTTCATCCATTATGTAAAAATAACTTGTGTGAACATAACCTTTACTTTTTTCATGTTTTTTTTTAACTTTCTCTGTGCTTGTCTGAGGAAATTTTCCACTAAAATCAGTATTATGCATGAGAGGTAAACTCAGAGTTTGGTTATGGATAGATGAAAACTGTATCGGACTTCCTTTTGAGTGAACCGGCACTAATCATCTTGTTTAAGTATTAGAATTTATCCAATTCAAAACGAAAGTTGCCGAGGTCATCGCAATACTTCCGCCAACTATCGCTTCATCATACATAAGTGCTTGCAACAGATTAACAAAGGTCATATTTAAAAAACTCATTCAATACTTATAAAAGACCCATTCATCACGTTTGTAGTGTGTGGATCCCACTACGTTTCGCATTCGATTCGTTTCATTGCATTCATCGTCCCACATCTCCTCAAATATTTTGCAAATTCTTTCAACTGTTGTTGGAGGAATTTCGCCTTCATCGCGAATGACATGGCATACAGGTAAAAATTATTCTACTTGCAATCTCATAGGTAGCCAAGCTGGGGTTATAAATTAGGCTTTTCGCGCTGGTTGCTGCTATAGAGTTCAAGGGAGAAGTCGAATCGGCACCTTGGTTCCTGATAGCCTGCATCACTAACCACTCGGTCCCTTTTCTCCATTTCATATTCACTGAATAATAAATTGATGCTCAGTAGAAAACCAAATCATCATACTAAGTAGTGAACGAAAAAGTCAAGCGAATCAGTGTTAGTATCTTTCCGGCAATAATGTAAACCAAAAGTACCACTATTCTACCAAAACTATAACTTGCTGTTTGATACAAAACAAGAGAACTATTCATCGAAGCAAAGTAAACTGACTAAGTGTGGTCAATGTTCATCTCTTTGGACGGTTCAGTTTGAAATCAGCAGAACTACATTTAGTGCTGTGTTTATATTTTCAATGAATCAACAATAGACACTGAGCTTTGTGGGCGCTAAATGACTTTAGGATAACTACTAAGTGGAATAACAACTATAAGCTTTTGACGTAAGTCAGTAAGCTACCCGATAAGTAATGACGTAATGTTAATAATGAAATGCATTAGATTCGAAGGCATCTGTGCATTTTGACTGCGAGGAAACGAATCAAATGCGGGAACTGCTAGAATGTATACAGTGCATCTGTGATAACGGGTTGCTCAAAAATAGAAAAATGTTGTTGATGACCTATATGTACCAAGAAAATCCTTACTAATAGTGACTGAACAAGAGAAAGGCTCACATCCATCATACAGCGCTCATTTACTCGATGATTGTCCGGACGTTCTTGATAAATTCTGTGATAATTCAAAATTGCTCATCAAAACTTCTCATGTTTAAGTTAGTGTTGCCCTCTTGAAATGTTTTCTCGAACTCTTCAGCAATAGCTGAATGAATTAAAACAATCATACATTGAACCTAGTAGGTTGGAGTGCTCGGCCTTACCGATCCATTAGGTTTGCGTCATGCTTTCGACTCCATCACTTTCATATGGTGAATGCAAACATGTTTGGCCTATATAAACATATATGCAGCACGATTATCTGTAAGCTAATCTCTCACACGACCATTTACTCAATTCGCAATTTTTGTCACACTATGCTGAAAGTAAAGAGATCTCTCATGCGACCATTGGCTGAATTCACAATTTCTGTCACACTATGTTGAAAGTAAGAGCGCATGTGGCGTAATGGGTAAGGATGCTCTGCGTTGCACACAAGGTCAATGGTTCGCTCTCGCGCTCATGGCTCACTAACCCATCCATTTCTCCGCAGCCGCTAAATTGGTACCACACTGATCTCAGGCTTGTTTGGGAGGATGAGCTGCACTTACTCGATTCAGCGGGAAGCCACCGCGAGTCATTGTAAAGGCCACATATGCATTCAGTCACCTCAAACGAAGTTAAAAATTGAGGGCGAATGCATGGCGCATCGCTCAAGGGTTGATCAACGCCGAGAGCTTTACCCTTTTAGATTTGTGCTGAAAGTAACGTAATCTTTTTACCACCTCACAGCACCCCGCTTTGAGGAAAAGATGGTCACTTCATTTCGGGTTTGTACAATTCGTACTACGGTCGGAAAGAAATTCTGGAACGATTTTATAGGTGTGAAATAACTCTCACGCATATCATGGGAACATGACGGTTACTTACGTAGAAATTTCCACTGATGGCCTAGATATTATTCGCCTTTATCTTCACTTTGTTACAAGCCTCCGCCATGTCCAACGATACGATCGAAGTTTCTTTTTATTGCGTCATTATTGGAAAAAAGGTGGTTCACAGCGACCTGCAGTCGATGAATCAACGAAGTTGAAGGGAATGCATAACAGGCAAATCTGCTGCTGGACGCTTCTTCAACGCTGGTTTCAACTCTTCACAATGCCAGAGATCTTGACCTCAAAGACAAGCCTCGTTTAGGACCGCCACAAAGTTAAATAACGAAGGGAGGTGTTGCCAAGTGCTCGCGATTCGGGAACCGAATTTGATGTTGCTTATACAACTATGCTAACTCATCTCCACCGGCTTAACTCTGAATTTTTTATTTTTTTTTTCTTATTCTAAAGAATAGTTATTACTTTTTGTTTGAGATTTATGCATGAATTTTCAATTTTCTACGAAAGCCTCAAAACTTTCTTTCCAACCTATTATATATGTCTCAATCAAATATTTCAATTAGGAAGAAACACACTGTAGTTCTCTTATCATATAATCTGCTTAGGAAGCTGTTATCGCTTTAGCGTATCTTTGTTTGCTATACTTTAAACTTGATGCTCGATAATGAATGTAAATAATGTTCACGCTAAATAAATATTAGAAAGGCAACTAAGTTTTGTCCTATTTTTTGTTATTTTTATTTATCGACATTAAGTTTATATCGCTCTCTTTTTCTATTGTGGTCTATGTCATACGAAAGCTCATGATCTCAAGATTCTAAATATGTGGTCATTCTGTTTTTACAACCCTATAAAATTATCTTTCACTTTAGAATGAATATGACGGAACATAAAGTTTGTGAACATCTCTTGCATGAGTTCCTTGGATCACTCTTCTATCGAGCTACACAATTATGTAGAGCACTTAACCACAAGGCGGTTGATCAACGAACCACACAAAGGTGGTTCAAAAGTTTTGCGAAGTCGACACCAACGTGTCAAAATCGGCTGCGACAGTTTTATCGAAGCGGTGTCGAGACAACACTAATCCACACATTGGCATCTGGCATTGCAAAAGAATAAAGAATTAAGGCGGGAACGTTAAGTTCGTCCACCGTACAGCTCATATGCTGCTCCAAGTGAACACCAATTCGTCTGGTCTCTGGGACATTCCCTGTCACGAAAACGTGTTGCCGAATTCGATGATGTGATGAATCACATGTCTAAGTATCTTGCCCTAAAAATGCCAGAATTGAATCGTCGAAGCATCGAAAAATTGCCGAAAATTTGGAAAGTATTATTAATTCTGACCTAACGTACTTTGATCCATAATGTTTATTTGTTAATATTTTTAATTAATTACAATATTCCAAAATTATAGTACTTTTAATGCTTTTTTCGCAGTGTTATGATGTTAGATTTATACCTAAGAGAAGCGAGTGGTGAGCAAAAACATGGCCTCAATCGGGAATCGAACCCGCGTTTCATTCATACCTGGAATGTGTGCTACTACCACTACACCACCGAGGCACATATGCGCTATTTCTGGCTGATAGCTAACAAAGAGATGTTGGAATGAGTCATGGCGAAAATGTGCCTTGGTGGTGTAATAATAATAGCACGCGTCCACTATATGATGAAACGCGGTTCGATTCCCGCCTGAAGCCATGTTTTTGCTCACCACTCACTTTTCTTGATTAATTGCTTTGTTGGAAAGATTTTGATGTGACAAAACTTAGTTGCAAACCTAATAACTTTTTCACATTTATGCTACTGGTGTTTAGGTGATCAACAGAAAATGGAATCCAAGACGTCGGATTCTAAACGAGCACGTAAGTTTGCTCTTTGATTGCGTATTTTGAACTGTTTTAAATTGTTTTCATTATTTAAAACGGAGTGGGTAACGCAATGATAATGTTGTCATTCATCCCACAGACGACATGTATCCTACTGCCTCGTTCCCTCTTCGGGTCCACCAAATTTACCATCCTTACTGAGTCAGGATCGAGTATCAAGCTTTTTTTCTTTTTTTTCTCCAATGAAAAATTTTCCCAAGCAGCATGCCGACCCGCGACAAACTGGAAAATTTCTCTGGATCGTGAATGCAGGCTGTGAGGGAACTAGTCGAACACGTGAAGGATTGGGTTTCACACGATGTGATACATGTGATGTCGAGTTCTGCAATTATAGAGGTTATACAATAAAAATCGCAACAAAAGACGAATATCAATATAAACTATAACAGGCTAACATTGAATAGATTTTCTGCAGAGAATAATATACACCTTTAGTTGCATGATTACGTGACATGCTCTTAGGTAGCGAGTAAAAAGTAAAAATGAGCCATACTTTAAATGCTTTACTTTGCACGTCTATTTCCACTCCAAGTTAAGGATGATTAGCCATCAAGAAACATTACTTTTTCCTCTCTTCCTTCTAAGCACGCCTATCTTCTTCATCTACGTAAAGAACTCTGATGTTTAGTCATGAATACGCTCCATTTCTAAGACACAGGGCTATAAGACACCTGAAGTCGCTATCTTTTCTGAAACAATGAAAATCAAGGGCTTTTTAGGGCTATTCAAATCCACTCGCGCCGGAATGCGCGCCGTGTTCCTTGCGCAAAATTGGAAGAAAATAACGTTTTTTTTGAAAATCAATAACTTTTCATCTTCAAAAAACTATGAAAGATCACTGTATTTAAAGTTTTTTTCGTTCAATGACAAACACAGCGGTGAAATTAAAGTAAAAAAAAAATGGAGAAAATGAGAAAAACTCATGTGTGAAGTGAAATGTATGACAGGATGGTCAGAAACTAAATTTTTCCGAGATTTTCTGAAAGATCTCAAAAGTTCGTGAAAGAGATCACTCAATCGTACGAGTCAACGTGCAACCCATGAGGATATTTTTTGCATAAAGTTTTGTTTTATTGAGACAAAAGAGACAACAACAAACTATACTTTCGAATAATGTATGTGAACTAATTTTTACTGCTTTTCTTGCAGTGATATGATGTTGTAAATTTCATTGAAGGGTAACCTATACTGGCCACTGCTTTCACTCTTTCTTTGATATATCCTTTCGCAGCTACCAGCAACTAACCTTCAGTATATATATATATATATATATATATTTAACATATATACATTTAATGTATATGTATAAGTATATATATAAATAAATATATATATATATATATATACATGATATTTATACTTAAGAGCTGTTTCCAGCATTCTTTCATCCAAAATCGCGACGCTTTCGTCTAATTCTGTTGCTGGCCTCCGGATTCTGCTGTACGACGTTTATGCGGATGCACTTAGCCATCACAATGACATGTATGGTAAACTCAACGGCCATATCAATAATGGAAGACGAGATCTATCATCCGGAGCATTTTAATATAACAGAAAAGCAGCACAACAGTGATGAGGTGAAGAGTTCATTCCTATGAATCGATTATACGACTGCATTTCCGTAAAAAACTAGTTCATCTCAAAGTCATTACTGGTGTGCGAGATACTCACAAGAAAATGGTGAGGAAGAGACTCAGATTTGATCAAGAAATTCACCGCTGTAGTAGATCTGAACAAAAAATTCACCACTGTAGTGGATTTGGTGAACTGACATTCATATATGTGACAAAAAGTTGACGAACTGGCTGATCGAAATCGATATGACTTTGACTACAAGTGTAGTGTTGTTTCGTGACACTGAAATTATTTGCAGAGTAACTCTACTGATTGGGACACTCGTTGTGAAAAAAGAGCTCCAGACGGTCACACGATTGTCGTCGATTATGGAGTGGGTGTGTTTGAGTAGTATTACCAGTTAGTAAATTACTTTTTAGTAAGAATAGTACGAGAACAAATTAACAGAGATGTTCAAAACAGCGTTCGCTTAATGGCCGATAATCTGGAAAGCTTTCATCGCATCTCTACTATAAGTTCAGGCGCAGTTTTTGTGATGAGATATACGCCAAAATTATTTTTCAGGGCACCATAATCTGGTCACATCGTGAGCAGAATTTCATATTTTCGGGAACATTCTGGGGAGCCTTGTTAGTGATAGGACCTTCGATGTTGGTCTACCATCACTGTTCTCCACGACTCCTTCTAGTGGGTGCAATGGGAGCCTACATAATCTCGACAATTGTCACGCCTACGCTTGCATTACACGCCGGCGCCACTGCCGTATTTGCTGCTCGAGTTTTCATGGGATTTGGGGAGGTTTGTTACCTGTTTTCTTATGAGAATATGAATACGACTACGATCTGTAATAGAACGGTATACCGTAAAAATGTCTTGTTAGAAGAACAGATGCAACTAATCGTAAGCCACCACATTTCTCATAAATAGCAGTCTCAAAAAGGTAAATTCGTACGGTATATGACAGTTTTTCGCCCAAGAGTATTTTATCCCGCAAAGACATTTTTTCACCGAAATTTTCATAGCGAATAAAATTTTTGGAAAGTGGGGTTTCTTGTTCCATTTATAAATATAAATCAATTTCTAATCAAAAAAGTTTTCTTTACACGGGGTGATAAAGTGAATTATATGAACGCTCCGTAAAATGGCATTCAAAAATATTCTCATACTACCTATTTCAGGGATTTGTGCTACCATCAATCAACTCAATAATCGCTAATTGGTTTCCGGTAGGAGAAAAGAGCACAGCGATTGCATTGTATACGGCTGGCAACCAATTCGCTGGTACTGTATCGAGTCAATAAGTGTGATATTCGAAAGCAGAAGATAAAGATCTATAATTATTCGGGAAATAGTGATACATTTTGTCTAGGTATCATTGAATGTTCCAGGACATGTGCCACTTATTTCTTAATTTCTTGCCTTCCTTCGGTTATTTCGATTGCAAAATCTTATAGGTCGAACACACATTCGTCTCCGAGTAGTTTCTTTCTAAAACTTGCAAACACTTTTATTCGATGGTTGTGTCATTATTTTCCGATACGGATATAACATGTTTTGAGCTGTTGAGCCTAGTGCTATACAGACGCCTGTTTCGTCCCATTGAGGCTCATCAGTACCGTCCTCCCTCGGCTCATTATTTTTGATCATTCGATTGCTTAATTTGCTAAGAAAGCATTAGCATGAATTCTTAGGTGCTACTGGTAATCCACTCGCTGCAGCGTTCTGTGCCTCATCGTACGGATGGCCAGCGGTCTTTTATTTTAGTGGTATGTCCGTTTTTGAGGTTTTTATTATTTTGCGACTAAGTAGTTTTATTGTGCTCAAATCATCCTTTTCTTTGACTACGAAATCTATTGGCTTGTGACAGTTTTGATTCCGTTCATCAGGGACTAATTCGAGCAAATGCTAGCAAACGCTATCCTCCCCTTTTCCAGAGCATGACTGCTCAATGATTCTCTCATGATGCAGACACACGAGCCCCGTACCTTTGCTATACGTTATTTACTTTTTTAGCCATAAAAGTAGCAATTGACATTGCATAAGGCTCAATCCTTTCATGGGCTAACTATTAGCTGCACCATGGATACATTGAACTTTGTATAAGCTTAGGAGACCCATTTGAGAAGATCAATACCTAGTGCACATCTTATTTCAAGACCTGAGAACAGCTCTCATTCACGAATAAATGGTGAATAGTCGAGGAGTATAACTCAGTGTCGCTTTATAATTTGTTAAAATAGCTTATTAATGCTTAACTCATAACGTACCGAAAATCACAGCGTCGCATTGAGATTAGTAGTTTATTATTCAGTAAAAACCATATGAACTAATTTTTTGAGACCTGTGTTATTTGACAAAGTGTTATTCTTCGATTCACAAATGGGAAAAGGTGTTTTAAAAAGGGCGTTTTTTTTCAACCGTGTCGTGAAATCATCAAGGCGGTGATGTGTTACAATATGCACTTATGAGTATTTTTTTGGTTTGATTTTGTTTTTTTAAAGTTCGATGACAGACGTGCAAGTGCGCCATTAGGCATTGCAGCTTGTCACCGACGATTGGCACGTTGTCTTCCACGTTCCCCTTGAGCCGTTAAGGCTCCAGACTATTTGAAATTACCAGAGATGATTAAACGATGTTTTCCATCAATACTTGGATTTGCCTAATATCACAAAGCTTGTATCTATTCTTAGATATGTTTTCAGCAACAATTGGTAGTTTATGGTGCATCTTGTGGATATTCGCATCGGCGGACCATCCAAGAAGTTGTACACAAATGACGGCAAAAGAACGAACATATCTAACTGAAAATGTCGCTCATCATTCGACTCGAAGCACTGTAAGCTTCACTTATTATGTAGTTGGTTTCAGTCACACTCGAGATGAAAAATACTAGGAGTAGGGACTTTTCGTTGTAACTTACTATGGTTATTTAAACATCGAATATCACTGCGCAATTACACTGCGGAAATACGCTTAATTTTCATCATAAAGTGAAACGAAATTTCAATGAAAAACTGCGCACTTTTTCAATCAGCGGGCGCGAGTTTGTTAACAGACGATTTACTAGTGTTGAGTAAAAACCTTCAGGAAATGAAAAAC